TCAATACTAATTTTCTCATACTCTTTCTTGTCTCTCTGTATAAGACATACTGTATAGTGAGCATGTTTAGAACATCAAATCGCAATAGAATCGCAGTATCGAATGGCAATACATATAGAATTGTGAGAATCATGAGAATCACAATACATATCGTATCAGCACCTAAGTATCGTGATAATATCGTGAGGTCCCTGGCAATTCCCAGCCCTAGTCACTGCAGGGATGGGGCTTGTGAAGATGTGTGTCTCTGTGTGAAGAGCTTAATTAAAGGTGACTAATTGTCTCTAGGGGGAACAGAGAACTCCTTCCGCGTCGGGCCCCGTTTGGACGCAGGCTGCCTAGTCGCTGCTATTTGGTACACAGCTGTATCCTGTTTTTACTTGCTTCTCTCATTTCAGTCCTGTTTCGCTTTGTTTTGGATGCTCTGCCCGGAGGAAGAAAGGTTAATTGTGGAATGTGGAATGTAATCTATGTCACTCAAGTCTAGTGTGTTAGATTTAGGGCAACATTGAACCTCAGGCGAGATCAATGGCTGACCTAACCTGACAAGGGCGTTGTGTTTTTCTCCCCGGTGAACATGCGATACACACCAATCCAAGCTTCTATAACACGCTGTTCTGTTTTCACTGCTGCGTAACTCTTAGAAAGTCAGCTCTAGATATTCCCAGGAACAATGCAGCTTCACACAAAGCAGCTTCTTAGCAGCACAAGAGGAAGAATAGTCCCCAATGCAAAGCCCAGGCTCCAGATTATTGAAATAGCTGTCAAGTTGAGCTGCCATATACCAACCACAGACCCATAGAACAACTATAGCTCACCTCGCTGTCTCAGTGTTTGACCCCATGTCAGGTCAGTCTGTCAGCTTTCAACTTGGCTAACTTTTAGTGGTGGTACGTGATAGTACCAAACCTCTGTCCCTCTAAAAGTCACAAGGATTGATAACACATGTTTAACCTGTTGATCTATACAGTATTTATCTGGGATGCTGTACATTCCTATGAGCCAGGCTGCCTGGCCGTTCATATTGCCAGTGTGATAGATAGCATGGCGAGGCTAGTTCCCGCCCGGCTGGCCTGAGGGTCTGACTCACTGGGAGACTGTTTGTGCTCCATGTCCATGTCTCTATATAAAGCCTGTGAGCACATCACCTAGTTAAGCCATTCATTATGGACCACAGCCCTTTTTTCTTTCCACTGATGTCTGTCTGCTAATTACTGTCCCAGCCACTGCTGTGCTACTGCATGCCACTTCATTATCCCAGCCTGGACACTCTGACAGGCAGCCTGGACACTCTGACAGGACAGCCGGAACTGCTGCTTCAGCCTGGTCTCATAGACTAGACGTAACATAGTAAATGTAAATCCGGGCACTCAAATTGTATGATATGTTACTTTTGGTATGCATAAGACAGAAGGTTACTTAAGGCAAAAACGAATTTAGGGTGGTTGGTCGGCGTGGATGGGTAAACGTATAACGTGACCGAAGGTTGCGTTTTCAAATCTCATCACGAACAACTTCAGCATTTTAGCTAATAAGCAACTTTGCAACTACTTACTACTTTTTAGCTACTTTGCAGCTACTTATCATGTTAGCTAGCCATTCCCCTAACCCTAAACTTAACAATTTTGTCTAACTCCTAACCTTAACCCTAACCTTAACCCCTAACCCTAACCCCTAGCCTAGCTAACGTTAGTGTTAGCCACCTAGCTAACGTTAGCCACAACAAATTGGAATTCGTAACATATCATACGTTTTACAAATTTGTAACATATTGTACGAATTGGAATTCGTAACATATCGTACGAAATGGATGTTGGACATCCACAAATTAATACATACCATACGAAAGGTAACATATCATACTAATTGGAGTGTCCCGGATTTACCTTTACTATGTTACGTCTACCCCTGAGTCCAGACTGGCTGCTCATATAGCCTGGACACAATGACAGGCAGCCTATTACAGGGCGGCTCTGGACTGCTGCTGAGTTAGCCTGGACACACTGATAGGACAGGCAGCCTGGCCTTTATGCTGCTGAATAAGCCTGGATACACTGGCAGGGTAGGCAGCTTGGACTGTTACTGATGTAGCCCGCACAGTTGCTGTGAGCTGAGTGAGCACTGTATTGGTTTAAGAGCACTGTATTGGTTTGGAACAGCTTCTAATAATATTTAGGCCTGAGCAGTGGGTTGGATAGGGTCGGACAGGGCAGTGGAATAGGGCAGTGGGTTGGATAGGGTAGTGGGTTGGATAGGGCAGGGGGTTGGATAGGGCAGGGGGCCATGTGGTTGGACAGGGCAGTGGGCGCAGTGGGGGCAGTAGGTTGAATAGGGCAGTGGGGGCAGGGGGTTGGATAGGGCAGTGGGGGCATGGGGTTGGATAGGGCAGGGGGTTGGATAGGGCAGGGGGCCATGTGGTTGGACAGGGCAGTGGGGGCAGTGGGGGCAGTAGGTTGAATAGGGCAGTGGGGGCAGGGGGTTGGATAGGGCAGTGGGGGCATGGGGTTGGATAGGGCAGTGGGGGCAGGGGGTTGGATAGGGCAGTGGGGGCATGGGGTTGGATAGGGCAGTGGGGGCAGGGGGTTGGATAGGGCAAGGGGGGCATGGGGTTGGATAGGGCAGTGGGGGCAGGGGGTTGGATAGGGCAAGGGGGGCATGGGGTTGGATAGGGCAGTGGGGGCAGGGGGTTGGATAGGGCAAGGGGGGCATGGGGTTGGATAGGGCAGTGGGGTCAGGGGGATGGATAGGGCAGTGGGGGCATGGGGTTGGATAGGGCAGTGGGGGCATGGGGTTGGATAGGGCAGTGGGGGCAGGGGGTTGGATAGGGCAGTGGGGGCAGGGGGTTGAATAGGGCAGTGGGGGCAGGGGGTTGGATAGGGCAGTGGGGGCAGGGGGTTGGATAGGGCAGTGGGGGCAGGGGGTTGGATAGGGCAGTGGGGGCAGGGGGGTTGAATAGGGCAGTGGGGGCAGGGGGTTGGATAGGGCAGTGGGGGCATGGGGTTGAATAGGGCAGTGGGGGCAGGGGGTTGGATAGGGCAGTGGGGGCAGGGGGTTGGATAGGGCAGTGGGGGCATGGGGTTGAATAGGGCAGTGGGGGCAGGGGGTTGGATAGGGCAGTGGGGGCAGGGGGTTGGATAGGGCAGTGGGGACATGGGGTTGGATAGGGCAGTGGGGGCAGAGGGTTGGATAGGGCAGTGGGGGCAGGGGGTTGAATAGGGCAGTGGGGGCAGGGGGTTGGATAGGGCAGTGGGGGCAGGGGGTTGGATAGGGCAGTGGGGGCAGGGGGTTGGATAGGGCAGTGGGGGCAGGGGGTTGGATAGGGAAGTGGGGGCATGGGGTTGAATAGGGCAGTGGGGGCAGGGGGTTGGATAGGGCAGTGGGGGCATGGGGTTGAATAGGGCAGTGGGGGCAGGGGGTTGGATAGGGCAGTGGGGGCAGGGGGTTGGATAGGGCAGTGGGGGCAGGGGGATGGATAGGGCTCTGTAAAGAGTCTCTGTTAGGGCTGTTTATCCTCCAGCGACTGGCTCTGTGTTTAAACACTAAACAGACAGGCTGCACCATTGTTTCTCTATTAGGTGGTGGCATGGTTATTAGGGTTAGTGTTTCTTAACACACAGTTGAACAACATAATCAGAGAATGATAAAGGGGATGGAGAAATTAAAGGAATATGAAGGGATTAGAGGAAATTGTGAGATCAGTGGGCTGCTATCAGGAGTACTGGTAAATTAAGTTTAGAAAAGGTTGTCTTGAGGGGTATTTTTTAATCAGTTAATGAGTGATCTAATGTTACTTGACTACTAACGTTGTGTCCATATCCTAGTTTAGCATGCTGAAAACAGCCTGACAACAGACATTGGCTTATGACAACAATACCACTAGTCACGCGCAACTAAATTATGTGGCTGTTTGAAAACACAGACAATTATGTCGCTCTTGACTTAGTCAACTGCTCGGTGTTGAAGCCCCTTCATTGTTTGTGTAAGCCTGTGTCGTAGTCACCACACACACACCCTTCCGCCTGCTCTCCCTAGTAACAGTGGCCTCTCTCTGAGTGTCTCCTTCAGCACTGAGAGAGACAATGATTGGTCTGTATTTTTATATCTAATTGCTGGAAATGAGCAGAGTGAGTGCTTGAGTTTAAATTAACTCGTAGTTAAATTGAGAAAATCAGGACAGCAAGTAAAACCATTTCCAGTGTTTTTTAACTCCTTTATCATGGGTAACAGTTGGAAGGAAACGTGGATGGACTGTATAGTGACTAGGATAGACATTTTAAGAGATAATAAAAGAGTAATACCTGGACAACTGAATGTAGGTTATACAGAATCCTTCTAATAAAAAGGCCTAGATTTCCTCCTGACTACCTGTCCAATAACAGGCTGACCTCCAACTAGGGGAGAGGGCCTGTTGTTTGGCCCCTCCTCAGTGCTCAGTCCTGGGCTGTGGATGTGGCTGCAGCAGCCAAGCCAGTTGGGTCATGGTGTTTCTATTCCTTGAGAAAAAGCTAAAGGCCCTTTCCTATTTCGCCCTTCCTTCTGTTCCCGTCTCTTATTATTTCCGCCCTGGCTCCGGAGGAGTCAGAGCTGGATTTCCTGAGAAAGGGGAGAGAGGGAGGGAGTGCCACAAAAAGCATTTCACAAAGCAGGAAAACTGAAAAAGCATTTGGTTATCAAACTCCTGCAGCCCTGGCCCTACACCCTCTATTTGTGTTTGGTTTATTTTCCTTCTTTTTTCTTTCATGCTCTTGGAAACAGAGTGGTGTTTGACCTCGGGTTGCCCGCTCTGATCTCCAGCAACAGATAAACACCAGTGTTCTTTCAGATGACTTTCTCCTGCTTCTAGACACTATTAGGACTTGTACTGAGACATACTGGTTCTAACATTGAATAAGGGGCTAGCTAGCCTGAACTACCTCTTTGACTATTTAGTTGTATGCATGTTGTCAAGTGTCCATTAAATAATGATGATGAAATGTATTGGTTTTTGTTTGTTGATGCAGGTGAGGATCTGTTAATTGAGCGGAGTGTCCGTAAAGGAATGATCAACCCTGGAGATGACAGGCAGACTATCCAACACAACGGTCCTACAGCCAACTTTGAGTATAACATCCGTGTGCGCTGTGACGAGAACTACTATGGCAACAAGTGCAACAAGCAGTGCCGGCCACGCGATGACGACTATGGTCACTACGTGTGTGACCAGTTTGGGAACAGAGGCTGTATGGAGGGCTGGATGGGGCCTTACTGTACAGCTGGTGAGTAGGGGAGCAGTCTGATACAATCCATGTACAAGACACTTCTGAGTCAAAATACACACATTGAAACTAATGTTTAGATATTGCTCTGATGATACTAGACATTAATTACATTTACATTTCAGTCATTTAGCAGACGCTCTTATCCAGAGCGACTTACAGTTAGTGAGTGCATAATTTTTTTTTCATACTGGTCCCCCGTGGGAAACGAACCCACAACTCTGGCGTTGCAAACGCCATGCTCTACCAACTGAGCTACACAGGACTATAATTAATGGGAGAATCCTTTTGTCTTTGTTTCACAGCAATCTGCAAGCAGGGCTGCAACTTGCTTCAAGGATTCTGCAATGCCCCAGGAGAATGCACGTGAGTCTGGGTTAACTTCATGCTTTGTACCACTGTGTCCATATTAATAAGATCCCAGAATATTACTCCCTTTTCAATTGAAATCCTTTTGACTGAGAATTGTGTCTGGGTGTACAGTGCCTTGCAAAAGTATTCACCCCCCTTGGCGTTTTTCCTATTTTGTTGCATTACAACCTGTAATTTAAACGGATTTTTATTTTTATTTCATGTAATGGACATACACAAAATAGTCCAAATTGGTGAAGTGAAATGAAAAAAATTACTTGTTTCAAAAAATTATACAAAATAAATAACGGAAAAGTGGTGCGTGCATATGTATTCACCCCCTTTGTTATCAAGCCCCTAAATAAGATCTGGTGCAACTAATCACCTTCAGAAGTCACATAATTAGTTAAATAAAGTCCACCTGTGTGCAATCTAAGTGTCACATGATCTGTCACATGATCGCAGTATATATACACCTGTTCTGAAAGGCCCCAGAGTTTGCAACACCGCTAAGCAAGGGGCACCACCAAGCAAGCGGCACCATGAAGACCAAGGAGCTCTCCAAACAGGTCAGGGACAAAGTTGTGGAGAAGTACAGATCAGGGTTGGATTATAAAAAAATATCAGAAACTTTGAACATCCCACCGAGCACCATTAAATGCATTATTTAAAAAATGGAAAGAATATGGCACTACAATAAACCTGCCAAGAGAGGGCCGCCCACCAAAACTCACGGACCAGGCAAGGAGGGCATTAATCAGAGAGGCAACAAAGAGACCAAAGATAACCCTGAAGGAGCTGCAAAGCTCCACAGCGGAGATTGGAGTATCTGTCCATACACTCCACAGAGCTGGGCTTTATGGAAGAGTGGCCAGAAAAAAGCAATTGCTTAAAGAAAAAAATAAGCAAACACGTTTGGTGTTCGCCAAAAGGCATGTGGGAGACTCCCCAAACATATGGAAGAAGGTACTCTGGTCAGATGAGACTAAAATTGAGCTTTTTGGCCATCAAGGAAAATGTCTGGCACAAACCCAACACCTTTCATCACCCCGAGAACATAATCCCCACATTGAAGCATGGTGGTGGCGCATCATGCTGTGGGGATGTTTTTCATTGGCAGGGACTGGGAAACTGGTCAGAATTGAAGGAATGATGGATGGCGCTAAATACAGGGCAATTCTTGAGGGAAACCTGTTTCAGTCTTCCAGAGATTTGAGACTGGGACAGAGGTTCACCTTCCAGCAGGACAATGACCCTAAGCATACTGCTAAAGCAACACTTGAGTGGTTTAAGGGGAAACATTTAAATGTCTTGGAATGGCCTAGTCAAAGCCCAGACCTCAATCCAATTGAGAATCTGTGGTATAACTTAAAGATTGTTATCCACCAGCGGAACCCATCCAACTTGAAGGAGCTGGAGCAGTTTTGCCTTGAAGAATGGGCAAAAATCCCAGTGGCTAGATGTGCCAAGCTTATAGAGACATACCCTAAGAGACTTGCAGCTGTAATTGCTGCAAAAGGTGGCTCTACAAGTATTGGGGGGGGTGGGGGGGGGTGAATAGTTATGCACACTCAAGTTTTCAGTTTTTTAGTCTTATTTCTTGTTTGTTTCACAAGAAAAAATATTTTGCATCTTCAAAGTGGTAGGCATGTTATGTAAATCAAATGATACAACCCCCCAAAAAATCAGGCAACAAAATAGGAAAAATGCCAAGGGGGGTGAATACGTTCACAAGCCACTGTATTGGCTGGGTAATGGACTGTAGCTCTTTTTGAGTTCAATGAGGATGATAATGATATGACATGGGGGGTTGATCGCATACCAGAGCTCGACCCCCACACTCCCCTCTCCCTATCCCCCCTCTCTATGGAACATAGAGTGTATTCCCCCCCCCCCCCCCCCCCCACTCCAGTCTGATTCAGGAGCCATTGTTCTTCTTCCTGTCCCAGACCTGGCCTGTAGCTGTAGCCGTGGCCTGTTTTTCACACAGCGTTTCCTTCCCTCCTCCAGCGGTGTGTCAGGGCCCCCTGCCCATTTCTACTCTGCAGCCCCAATCACCTCTTCCTATCCTGGGCCTGTTTTGGCTGTCATACCCCTCATGGGAGTATGGACTCCATCCAGCAGCCTTAGTCACGTACATGTTATTCTGCATGGCTGAACCAACCAAGTATTCCATGTGAAATCCTCTTGTAAGACCTCCGTCTTGTGCATCTCTCTGAGGTGCATACTGAACCACACCTATGGATCTGTTCAATAGGGATAGCCGTGAGTGAGAGACGGGTTGGATTTAGTTCACATCTCATAAAATAATGAATTTTTCATGGCTGGAAGAGAGGAACAGACTAGAATGTGCCTCGACATGTGATTTGAAGTTCAGGACGAGTCTGTGTGTTTCCCGACCGTGAACAAACAACACGCCTTCTCCTGGAGTAACATTACATGCCTGGTGCCTGCGGAGGAAAACAAAAAATGTGTTGGTGGTATTTGGTTTCCTTACACACAGAGCATTCACAACCTACCTCCCCCTTACAAAAACACATGAAAAAAAAAAGTTTTCGGACACGTGTAACTTTTCACATGAATTTTTCACGTGAACAAATCACGTGAAAAATGTCACGTGGGGAAAACTCACATGAGAGTCATGACTCAGACACGTGGTTTCCCAACATTTCTCATGTTATAAGTTTACATGTGCGCTTTTGTTACTGCCGGTATTAGAACCCTGGTGTCCCATGGGAGAAGCCAATGTCTTGACCGTTCGACCAAGAGGGCCAACTTAATTTTGTAGTCGCAGGTGGTGCTACATCATCACGTGACCATGAGCAACCACGACTGACTGTCAAACGATTCAAAATGTAATCGAGTTTATCGAAAGAGTCTTTGTGATTAATCACGATTTAATTTATCCATGTCAAAAAAATGTAAGGGACCTCAATCTGCATGCAACAGACTGTTTATTTCCCAGAGTCTTTCTGTGAATAATTCTTAGAGACAGAGAGAGAGAAAGAGAGAGAGATAGAGAGCTACTGCGGCTGCAGGAGATGTGCAGGCAGGTTGAGCCCCTGAGCCTGACCGTGATAGGGATCTGGAGCACAGGTTGGTGGCAACTTAATTGGGGAGGACGGTCTCGTGGTAATGGCTGGAGTGGACTGGTATAAAATAATTCAAACATGGTTTCCGTGTGTTTTATACATTTCCATTAGCTCCGACCCGGCCATTATTATGAGCCGTCCTCCCCTCATCAGCCTCCTGTGATCTGGAGGGTGTGGCTTCAAAGGGCTATTTCCACAGTGTGGGTCTGACAGGGTTGGGCCTGGCTGTGCTGGGCTGGAGCGGGATATTTACGGTGTTGCTGGCTGGGCTGAAAGAGTCCTCCATTATAGGGCTGTGGTGAGGTGGTTGTTTGGTAATGGTAATGCCACCCTGGCCTTGTGGCCACCTTGGTCTCTCCCTGCTTTTACTGTGGACAGGGCCTCTCAGTGCTGCTACTGCTACTGCTGCTTATAAAGCTTTACACTAAACCTCAGCACGCTAACATGCAGTTTGGTATACAGTAACACACCACTGCACACTTCAGTACTTTTACAAATGTACATTAGTAGACTACAATACAAAGTTGTACTGCACTGCGTGTTGTGTTTGACTGCAGTATCGCTTACTAGCGAACATGTTAGCACACAGCACACAGCAGTACACTCACTGACTCCAGTACAGTATATAGACTAGTAGTGTAGGGTTTGGTTGGCATCTATTTGCAGGAGAGGGGTCTTTAAATAGCCCAGGGCGAGAAGTGACAGCACAGGTGGGGCAAGGTTACCGCTGGCCTTGGAATAACAGAGTGCAGCCATAAACCAACAGATTAGGGAACCGTTCACCAGCCTCCTCCGCTCGCAATGCTGCTTGCCTAGGGGCTTCAGGTATTTTATTAATGTCCTCTCTTTGACTCTGTCCAAGTTTTTCACATATGACCACACAATGGGTCCATTGCCTATGTGTCTCTAATGGATGTCTGTGATCTGTCTTGCAGGTGTAACTATGGGTATCAGGATATAATGGTGTGTTTTGTCTTGCAGGTGTAAATACGGGTGGCAGGGTCCGTTCTGTGATGACTGCCTGCGCTACCCAGGCTGTGTCCACGGGACCTGCGTCAAGCCCTGGTTGTGCAGCTGTGAGAAGAACTGGGGAGGCCTGCTGTGTGACAAAGGTGAGGCATTAGAGCAGACCAGACCTGGCCCACTGTACTATTAACACATCCTCTACAGTGACCTCTGACCTCCCTGTAGTGTCACACAACACAAGGTCACCTCTGAGTTCCCCTCAGCAGCAGGTGGTCAACAGAGGTCACTGAAGAGTGACTGCTAGAAACAGGAGATCACTTCAGAGTAACAAGACGGAGAGGTGGATGGAGAGGCTACATTTAGCAATATGTAACAGTATGCTTTCATGTCCGACCATATGAAGTCGTGTGATGACTATGTAGTTAATCTGTAACATATAATTTACCATCCTAATCCTTTAGATGTGTTCATATGAGACCATTAAAGTGTGTAAATGTAATCCTTCCTGTATGATTCTCTCCAGATTTGAACTACTGTGGGACGAACAAGCCATGTAAGAATGGAGGAATGTGTATGAACACAGAGCCAGATGAGTACAACTGTGTCTGTTCTGACGGCTACTCAGGCAAGAACTGTGAGATAGGTGAGTCAGTGAACAAATTCAATTATGTCAGTGCCAATGAGCACGGTTACATGCACACAATAATACGATTATTGTGGATAGTCAGATTAATATAATAGTTTGTTTAAAACGTTCACATGCTTTGCAAGAAGATCGATTTCCCTAATAATCCTGTTTACATGGACACATCTGAAATCAGGCTACTGATGGGCCTTTTGATAAATGCAGAAAATCGCCTATCAAAATAAACATTCTACCACAGTAAATATGTTATTTTTGCGAAACCTTTTTGATTCTGAGTTCGGACCAATCGTTTGTATGTGAAAACTCTTTCTAAGATGCATACTTTCAGTTTTCTGAACTCACTTGTAATAAGAGGGAGGCTCGCTCGGCTGGTTCTAGCACATGCACAGATCAAATACACAGCTGGAACACCGATTAAGGTGTTTACATGTCCTAATAATTCAAAAGATTACTCAGAAAACCAGGCGTTTTAATCGGCATATGCTTACTTCGATTTTGACCTTATGCCGATTAAGATAAGCAGAGTAAGGTATTTACATAACTATTTCTATATTCGGCCTACTGCCATAATCAGTTTAATATTGAATTATTAGTGTGCATGTAAACATACTCAATGTTCTATAGTTGATAGTTTGCTTGTGTATTTTGTTGCGCTATTTATGTCATCTGTCACTCTGACTCATGGCACATTTCTCTCCCCACGTCTACCCCTTATCTTCAGCTGAACACGCCTGTGTGTCCAACCCCTGTGCCAGCGGGGGCACCTGCCATGAGATCCCGTCTGGGTTTGAGTGCCACTGTCCTGCAGGCTGGGCAGGGCCCACCTGCGCTAAAGGTCAGTGAGTCACGATCTTGCCCCTCCCAAGGTGTGTGTGTGCCCCCATGTTTTTACAAAGCTGTACCCGTACATCATTGTGTGTGTGTGTTCCAGACATGGACGAGTGTGCGTCTAACCCCTGTGCTCAGGGTGGGACCTGCATCGACATGGAGAACGGATTTGAGTGCCTCTGCCCCCCACAGTGGGCTGGGAAGACCTGCCAGATAGGTAAGCCTGGGAAAGAGAGGTGGCGGGTGGTCTGTAGTTTAGCCTATCATTCAGACTAGAGAGTTCTGAGGGCACAGTCTCTGCCTGGGAAAATGGAGCAAAGCATGTCCAAATGGCTAAAGATTAATATTATGTCCTTGGGAGCATAACTTGAGACTGTTTGCATGCTAAATTCAATTAAGTGTTTGATTTGAAGTGAATGTGATATGTTGTGATGTGACTTGAAGTGTTATTGAATCTAGCCGTGTTTGATCTTATGCCAGGAATTTCCGTGCTCGTCCAGTATCCGGTTGTTTGTGTCTCTCACCCTGTTGAGCCAGTCGTATTACTATGGTGTGGATACTAATTTGAAATGGGTGCATGCATGTCCATGGAGAAAGCTGGATATTATGTGCAACCTGAGCCAGGTTTCTTGAGTAAAACTATAAATAACACCTAGCCTGGCAACTGCTAACCTTGGGGCCTGATATAGCCTGACAGTGCGTTATCTTTGGCTACAGACTGGGATAAAAGGGGTATGTACTCTAGTCTCCACCCAGAGCAGAGCCTCACCCCAACACCGCTATTTAGCTCCGTTGAGTGGCAAGGGGAAAGGAAACACTTTATAACCTGTAAACACGCTCAGGGAGGAACCCAAGCTCCAGGTGTTGTGTTACGCGGTCCGTTATTCTCAGTGCGCAGGCGGTTCCCCTTTCAGCGAGCGGGCGGTACCTGAGAGAGGGGTGTCGGGTGTCCGCAGCCCAACAGGTGCCTCTCACCTCTGAGGAAAAGCGATTGTGTTCTGGTCTGTCCAGGGAGAGGGTGTTAGTGACCATTGCCTTGGGAACTGACCACTGGGAAAGCTCTGGACGTCAGAGAATAGATCAGTTCAGAAATAGGGTAGGCAACTGAAATAAATGTTTAGGGTAGGAGGCAGAGCCAGCAAAATGGATGGCAAAAAGTTGAGAAAGTTTTTTGGATGGCAAAAAGTTGAGAAAGTTTTCTAAAGGCAGGTTTAAGGTTATAATTATTATCAGGGGCTTTAGTTTCTGTGTAGCCTTGCACTGTAGAGATCTGCTTGGTGGTGGGGCTTGGAGGCTGGTTCTTAGATCTCTCTCTCTCTCTCTTCTCTCTCTCTCTCTCTCTCTCTCTCTCTCTCTCTCTCTCTCTCTCTCTCTCTCTCTCTCTCTCTCTCTCTCTCTCTCTCTCTCTCTCTCTCTCTCTCTCTCTCTCTCTCTCTCTCTCTCTCTCTCTCTCTCTCTCTCTCTCTCTCTCTCTCTCTGTCTGTCTGTCTTCACTCCGCAGACGCTAATGAGTGTATGGGGAACCCTTGCCTCAATGCTTACTCTTGCAAAAACTTGATCGGTGGATATCACTGTGCCTGCTTTCAAGGATGGGCCGGCCAGAACTGTGACATCAGTCAGTATCAGTTAATCATGTGCCTCTGTCCCCTTTGCCTGCAGCTAGCTCCGACACCTACCTGGGCCGCTGGCCAAGCTGTCCTGTTCCTATCTCAGGCTCTCTCTTTCTGCTTTATTATGGCCTACAAATACTTATCTAGATCCATGGATGGTGTATTTACATGACTATGAGAAGCACATCCTGTAGATATCGTTGAAGGTTTTGTAGTCGACCTCACTGGCTTTCACTGCATGCACTAACCAACAGCATCATGTCTTCCTGCACCTTGAGAGAAATCTTCTTCTGAGTTTCTTTGAAGCATTAACCAAGTTGCACATTCTATGTTTTGTTTGTTTATCACATGCATGCCCCCACTGCATGTTCCCCTGTCCTATCTGTTGACCTGTATTAGTAAGTTCTTTCTTTCCCCTCTGCAGATGTCAACAGCTGCCATGGACAGTGTCAGAATGGAGCGACATGCAAGGTAGGACATTTTATTCAATAAGGCAATCTAGCCACTGTGTTTGATGCCCTCCATTCATATTATATCTATGGTTAGCATTATTATGGGTATGAGAGCCTCTGAGTGACAACTTTTTTCTTTACGCTTCGTACAGGAAGGGCGAAGAGGCTACGTGTGTGCCTGCTCACTGGGGTTTGTAGGCCGGCACTGTGAGGTCCAAAGGAACAGCTGTGCCAGCGGCCCGTGTAGGAACGGGGGCAGGTGCCACACCCTGCTGGACGGCTTCATGTGTGAGTGCCCACATGGGTACACTGGCACCACCTGTGAGGTGAGCTATGGTCCAGTCCAGACCTTTGACAAATCTGATCTTGTCTTTTATACACAACAATTATCTATTTATCCATCTATCCAACTATTCATCCACTCATCTTTCCATCTGTCCATTCGTAGGTGCAGAGTAAACCGTGCAGCCCTAACCCGTGCCAGAACAAGGCCCAGTGCCACAGTCTGATGGAAGACTTCTACTGTACCTGTCCTGATGACTTTGAGGGTAAGACCTGCTCCGAGCTCAAGGACCACTGCAAGACCAATCCCTGTGAAGGTACAAACCAATCTATAAACCTATTGCTGTCATCTCAACTCAAATAACTCAACCCATTGTAAAAGTACTAACCAGGCAGTTCTCTTGTCTAGCCTAAATTGAAACCTGATCTTAAGCTGCTTAGTCCTCAGGTCAACCTCAAGATCAACCATCATTTCAACCCAATCCTCTCAGGTCTATCTCACCAACAGTCTCTTGTCATTCCTTCTGTTTTGATCCCAGTGATTGACAGTTGTACTGTCGCCGTGGCCACCAACGACACACAGGAAGCGGTGTGGCACATCTCGTCCAATGTGTGCGGTCCCCACGGACGCTGCATCAGCCAGCTTGCTGGGAACTTCACCTGCTCATGTGAACCGGGCTTCACAGGAACATACTGTCACGAGAGTGAGTAGACACACACTCCATCATCATCACACATCATTGACTTCATCATCAAAATCATCACCATCATCATACCATAAGACTAAACATCCCGATCCTTACTGTAACACACCACTGACTTCATCAGTCTCATTGTCTTCCTCATCATCCCCATCCTCATTCATAGTCTCTCCTCTCTCCCTCCCAGACGTAAACGACTGTGTGTCGTCTCCCTGTAAGAACGGAGGAACCTGCATCGACGGGATCAGCTCTTTCCAGTGCTTTTGCCCTGACGGCTGGGAGGGCACGCTGTGTGACATGGGTATGTGTGTGTGTGTCCCTGGGTGGTTTTACTCTACATCTCCATGGTGTGTGTGTTACTCTAACTGATCCCTGGTGGTTGTGTTCCAGATGTGAATGAGTGCAGTAGGAACCCCTGTAAGAACGGAGGTCACTGTGTGGACCTGGTCAATGACTTCTACTGTCAGTGCCAGGATAACTGGAAGGGCAAGACCTGCCACTCACGTGAGAGCCAGTGTGACTCCAGTACCTGCAGTAATGGGGGGACGTGCTTCGACCACGGGGACACCTTCCGCTGTACCTGTCCTTCAGGGTGGGGCGGCAGCACCTGTAACACAGGTAAGAATCCATTATTGCTTGGTTTTAACTATGTCATTCAAGGGAAAATCTAATAGACTGCTCTGGTCCATACGCTCCATAGGAGTCATTTTTTTTGCAGAAATGTGAATATAGGTTCTAAGCTCATCATATTTTATTTATCTTGTCAGGCAAGAACAGCATGTGTGACTCTAACCCATGTGAGAACAGCGGGACCTGTGTCGGAGGGGGTGATGCCTACACCTGCATCTGCAAGGATGGCTGGGAAGGGCCCACATGTGCTCAGAGTAAAGCACAATTTACTTAATTATTTTCAGGTTATAATCATAAACTAAAACGCGTCTGATTTTTATTCTGTGTCATCCCCTCTCTTCACAGATGCTAATGACTGCAACCCAACCCCCTGGTAAGTTGAACATATTGAATAAACCTAAATACTTTTCATGTCTTGGCTCCACTACTCGCTCTGTTATAAGGCTATCGCATCTCTTCACAGACCCAAACGCACCGATATTAGAGCATAATCTCTCAGTGTTCTGGTTTCAAAACAGGAATAAATTACTCTCACACACCGCTCATCTCGCAAATCTAATTTAATACTCAGAGATTTCTTGTTAAAGTTTGTTCCGTGGAGGTGTATGTGTGAAAGGGGAATTGTGTGTATCCCTGACTCCTCAGAACAGTGCAGGGCCTGACAGCTGGGTATTCCAGGGTCCTGTGGATCAGAGGGGCTGAGTGGACAAAGGCTCCCGCCACCACAATCCCTGACAGGGGGATTAGCACGGTGGGGTGCCCCTCACCCAATTCTTCACCACTGACCCCTGAGCATGGGGTGGTGTAGGCAAGAGAGGGGGGCTGGGGAACAGCATATAGGACCAGCACAGTATGGGGTGATTTTGGGATTTGCATATGAAGTCTGGACATTGATAAGGGATCAGCTTTAGTGACCACAGTCTCTGTCTCTAGTCCCCTGCCTTGGGATTCTGCTGCTGGGATCTAGACCTGAGATTGTGAAGGCTTTTTTCTCTTTGTAGTCTAAGCCTTCAGCCTTTTGTATGCTGCTGCACCTGTGCCAATGGTATGGGCTGATGTATTGATGTGTGGTTCTGTTTCCTTCCTCCAGCTATAACAGTGGTGTCTGTGTGGATGGTGTGAACTGGTTCCGCTGTGAGTGTGCCCCGGGATTCGCCGGACCAGACTGCCGGATCAGTGAGTCCCTGGGAACCAGAGGGGTGTGTGGGGGTCAGATTGGAAGGTTCAGGGGTGAAAGGTGACGGGGGGATTTTGAGCTGATTGTTTGTGAGGGACAGATTAGGAAGCCTTTAGGAAGCCTATCTTAACCTCCAACCCCTCTTGTGAGGAGAGGTCAGCTGTATTCTGCAAACAGGTCAGTTCAGTCTGACATTCTCAGACACAATCCTCTTTCCTTTTCCCCTTTTCAGAGAGGGTCTATTTTTCACGTGGGGATGCCAGACATGAGAACCAACCAGCCCCTACCCTGTTGTGATGATATTATAGCTAGGTGCATTGCAGTAGACTAGAGATATTTGTGTAGTAATGTCCTCTTGTTTCCCAATCAGACATAGATGAGTGCCAGTCATCTCCCTGTGCTTATGGTTCTACCTGTGTGGATGAGATCAACAGCTTCCGCTGTGTGTGTCCCCTGAGCCGGGCTGGGCCTCGCTGCCAGGAGTGTGAGTACACTGCAGCTATAGAGAAAATACCTTTATTACTGTATCCATGGAGTATGGGAACTTTCTTCCATTGACCTCGTGCGTGGTAGGAAGAGTTTCTAAGGGCTGGGCCTGATATTGCCTTAGTCCTAACTCTGCTCCTCTCTCTTCCCTCTGCAGTCATAGGGATCGGGAAGGCCTGTCGTTATTCCGGCCTGCAGTTCCCTCACGGCAGTCGATGGGAGGAGGAGTGTAATACCTGCCAGTGTGTCAACGGCAGTGTGTACTGTTCTAAGGTGAGACTTGCATGGTTTTATTACACACAGTGAAGCTGTGTGTGTGTGCAAGCTGCCTCTCTGACCTCTCTCTCTCTCTCTGTGTGTGTGTGTGTGTGTGTGTGTGTGTGTGTGTGTGTGTGTGTATGTGTGTGTACAGGTGCAGTGTGGCCGACGGCCCTGTCTGCTCCATAGAGGTGCTTCCGGTCCAGACAGCAGTGCCCCTTGTCCTGGAGGACAGGAGTGTGTAGAACACCAATTCCTCACCTGCTTCGCCCCGCCCTGCCACCAGTGGGGCGTGTGTTCCACCCCTGACCCCCCACCGCCCCTCCACACTCAGTGTGAACCCAACAGTGGTTACTTGGACAACAGCTGTGCCCGCATCACACTCATCTTCAACAGAGACAAAGTTCCACAGGTGAGTGTACAACATCATTATCTGACTAACATTAAGTAAGATATTTAATTAAAAAATATATATACAATTCTATTTGCATATTTGATTATTGACTTAGTTTTACTAGACTTGAATCTCCGACCACACCTTCCCCGTACTCTGCCAGAGAATTAAAGTGAATAGAGTGTGTGTGTGTGCTGATCAAAGGGTACCACTGTGGAGAACATCTGTTCGGAGCTGAGGTACCTTCCCATCACCCAGACCCTGGCTAAGGAACACACGCTCCTCATTCTCTGTGACCTGTCCTACTCCAACAGTGGCGCTGTGGAGGTTGCCATGGTGAGTGCCTCTCTCTCTCTCTCGCCGTGGCCACCCAGGCTCCTCTCCAGTAAGACATGGGAAATCAGGCACTACAGGGCACTAAACCCTTAATGGAGGGGATTAGGCCTTTCCTTGTGACGTAGTCATGTTTGGGGACATACAGGAAAAGGAGTGGTGTGTCTGATGTCCTTGTAGCTTTGTACTGAGTTGAATAATTAAACTCCATAGACCCTCTAAAGGCTTACAGTGATGTTAGTTGTGCTTTGTTAGACAATTATGAAATAGTCTTAACTCAACATGATCATGAAGTCGTATTATTTCAACCTAATATGAGTCTTGTGTTGTGGATCTGGGTTTGGCAGAGTTGTCCCATCCAGCTGACTCTATGTATCTGTATCAATACAGATGTTTTATGGAGACCCAGAAACGGTGTGTTCTCAGTAAGAGGCCACAGTAGTCCACTCTGAAGCCCAGAGGCTGTTAGATGTCAGAATGGGGTGAGGGGCTGTGTGTCACAGTTGTGTGTGTGAATGAGCAGCTGCTTTCCCAGAGAGAAGAAAGAGGAGTGTTGCTGACTGACTGACTGACTCTCTTATTATTCTTCACACTGACTGGCTGGCTGGCCAGGGAGCACCAGAGAGCCACAGCTGGCCTGTTCTCCATTGTTCATCCTAATTAAAGTGCACAGCATCCAGCTAATCTCCCTCTGCTCCCCCTGGACTCTCTGGTCCACTTATTAGGCAATTAACTAGACCTGCTTTGTGCTCTACGGGGGTGCATGTGAGAAGTTAGGACTAGGACTCCCTCTCTCCTGTTGTGTTGACTCACCATTTCCCCATCTCTCTCCCTCTTCTCCAGTCGTATGATCAGGATGGTCAGGAGCGGGATGGAGACCATGGTCAGATCCAAGAGGCTGCCAGTGCCATCATCGGTGCCCTGTCCAAACGACACAACAGCACCGTCATGCTGGCCGTGGTGGAGGTCAAAGTGGAGACACAGGTCATGCCCCAGTCTGTGGGTGAGTAACTGGACTCGACTTGGTTTAACTGTATGCATGTTTTTATACTGGGCTTTCGATTAGGTAGCATTACAGTACATGACAGTAAAGTTTAATTTAATGGTCTTTCTGTCTCCAGACTACCTGGTTCCAGTCCTGTGTGTGGTGTTCAGTGTGCTGTGGATCTTCTGCATCGTGGTGTGTGTGTGGTGGACCCGTAAGAGGAAGAAAGAGCGTGAGAGAGAGTCTGCAGCGGAGGACAGCACTGTCAACAACCAGCTGGAGCCGCTGAGGGTCATCTTGCCACAGCACAAAGACAACCTAGACAAAGACATTCAGTACGAATGCAAGAAACTCATGAGCCCTCCAGACCGGACGTGTGACGGGGCTGAGGAAGAGGAGGAGGAGGACGGCGAGGAGGAGGAGCTGAGGAGGGGAGGGATGGAGCTAGACAAGTGCTCCACACAAAAGTGCTCCTTGGCAGGAGTGCAGGACAGAGTGATGGGCAAAGGGGGGGTGATCTGTACGATGCGTAGCGCCCCTGTCAAACCCCCCCACCGGACAGCGTACAGCCCCAAAGACAACCGGTGTAAAAACCTCAACGCTGCCAACTTCAGTGTGGATGTCAAAGATAATTATGTATGAGCTCGGCCTAGAGGTGGGACCTCTCAAACTAAAGATGACTTCTCCATCTAATAGAAAAACACAAGCACCAATAGTAAAGATTTCAGACATGTTTTACATTTCATTTGACTTTATTCTCTGTCTGCAACATGGAGGCTTCTTATTTACTAAAAGCATTGCAAAAGAACATTTCAGCAACAAAAAGAGACCTGAATTTGTTTCTTTTTTTTGTTTACAAATTGTTGCTCCCTTTAAAGGAGAGACCTTTTTTTCACAGCGTGTCACTGAGAAAATGGTGTATCATGTGACTTTGGCGAGAGCACTGCCATTGGAGGACTATGGAGAGTCCATTGAATGGCAGCTGTCGTTGCACTACTACATTACTACTAGTGCATTTAGTCCATATCTGCCTTAACCCGCACTGTGGGCATTTTCTTTGTTCTCTTGGTATAATAATGTCATTAGTATAAGTAAAATTATGTAAAAGATTATATATAAGACCGTTCGAAAGCTATAAGCAGTGTAACACCTGACATCAGCATTAGTTTATAAACATAAACATATTTTCCATGACATGTCAATGCTTCTAAAGACCTTAGGTATATCCCTTTAACATGCCTTTTACTTCATCATTTCCTTCAGCCCTTCTTTTATTATTTCATCTTATTCAAAGAATTGATCCAGAACTTAACAATTCATACAGTGGGGAAAAAAAGTATTTAGTCAGCCACCAATTGTGCAAGTTCTCCCACTTAAAAATATGAGAGAGGCCTGTAATTTTCATCATAGGTACACGCCAACTATAACAGACAAATTGAGGAAAAAAAATCCAGAAAATCACATTGTAGGATTTTTAATGAATTTATTTGCAAATTATGGTGGAAAATAAGTATTTGGTCAATAACAAAAGTTTCTCAATACTTTGTTATATACCCTTTGTTGGCAATGACACAGGTCAAACGTTTTCTGTAAGTCTTCACAAGGTTTTCACACACTGTTACTGGTATTTTGGCCCATTCCTCCATGCAGATCTCCTCTTGAGCAGTGATGTTTTGGGGCTGTCGCTGGGCAACACGGACTTTCAACTCCCTCCAAAGATTTTCTATGGGGTTGAGATCTGGAGACTGGCTAGGCCACTCCAGGACCTTGAAATGCTTCTTACGAAGCCACTCCTTCGTTGCCCGGGCGGTGTGTTTGGGATCATTGTCATGCTGAAAGACCCAGCCACGTTTAATCTTCAATGCCCTTGCTGATGGAAGGAGGTTTTCACTCAAAATCTCACGATACATGGCCCCATTCATTCTTTCCTTTACACGGATCAGTCGTCCTGGTCCCTTTGCAGAAAAACAGCCCCAAAGCATGATGTTTCCACCCCCATGCTTCACAGTAGGTATGGTGTTCTTTGGATGCAACTCAGCATTCTTTGTCCTCCAAACACGACGAGTTGAGTTTTTACCAAAAAGTTCTATTTTGGTTTCATCTGACCATATGACATTCTCCCAATCCTCTTCTGGATCATCCAAATGCACTCTAGCAAACTTCAGACGGGCCTGGACATGTACTGGCTTAAGCAGGGGGACACGTCTGGCACTGCAGGATTTGAGTCCCTGGCGGCGTAGTGTGTTACTGATGGTAGGCTTTGTTACTTTGGTCCCAGCTCTCTGCAGGTCATTCACTAGGTCCCCCCGTGTGGTTCTGGGATTTTTGCTCACCGTTCTTGTGATCATTTTGACCCCACGGGGTGAGATCTTGCGTGGAGCCCCAGATCTAGGGAGATTATCAGTGGTCTTGTATGTCTTCCATTTCCTAATAATTGCTCCCACAGTTGATTTCTTCAAACCAAGCTGCTTACCTATTGCAGATTCAGTCTTCCCAGCCTGGTGCAGGTCTACAATTTTGTTTCTGGTGTCCTTTGACAGCTCTTTGGTCTTGGCCATAGTGGAGTTTGGAGTGTGACTGTTTGAGGTTGTGGACAGGTGTCTTTTATACTGATAACAAGTTCAAACAGGTGCCATTAATACAGGTAACGAGTGGAGGACAGAGGAGCCTCTTAAAGAAGAAGTTACAGGTCTGTGAGAGCCGGAAATCTTGCTTGTTTGTAGGTGACCAAATACTTATTTTCCACCATAATTTGCAAATAAATTCATTAAAAATCCTACAATGTGATTTTCTGGATTTTTTTTTCTCAATTTGATTCTCAACCTATGATGAGAATTACAGGCCTCTCTCATCTTTTTAAGTGGGAGAACTTGCACAATTGGTGGCTGACTAAATACTTTTTTTCCCCACTGTATAAAGGGAAAATATGTCCTTTCACAACTCTTCATATCACCATAAAGGTGTTTCTTTGAACAATGTATATATGTAAATATAAAAATGGCTGTGTATATTTGAATTTAGTAACTTAAGTGATCCTTTTTATTATAGTTATTCGAAAGAATAAGATTGTTAATGTTTTGTTGGTTTTTTATTGTGTCATTCCGTTTTATTAGTGTCTGTTGACACAGGCCAGGTTTTATACAGATTTATGGACAATATCCAGGGTCCCACTTAATCACAAAAGCATTGACAGAAACAAATTATTATAAGTGCTTGTTTGTTTTGCTTTATGATTTTATTATGTTCCAACACTTCAAATTGTCAGTAAGCACAGTTGTTAGTTCTAGTTCTAGGCTTGTCCGCTGCTTAAGTCGGAGCTATCGGTTGGGAGTTTCCCTAGTGAATGCTGGTTCACCATCTCCCATTCACTATGCTACAGTATGTGAACGTTAGAATGTCCTATTATAATGCAGGGGTCAGAGGAGGCTGGTGGGTGGAGCTATAGGAGGACGGGCTCATTATAATGGCTGGACTGGAATTAATGGAACGGTATTAAACATGTGGAAACCACGTTTGACTTCCAGCCATTACAATGAGCCCGTCCTCCTATAGCTCCTCCCACCAGCCTCCTCTGGCATGGGGTGTACCAATACATGGATGGTTTGTGTTGATCTGATACAGAAGCAGTGCTAGCAGGCTCTTATCATCGTGATTTGGGTCGGAATCAGGAGTAACTACAATTCAATTCAAGGCCATGATCAGAGCAATCCAGTGGTTTAATCTTTGTCTGGGCATGAGCACTCAGTTACCCAGCCCTGCAGTGGTGCATTGGATTTCTGCTTTCAATACTGGTCTAATGAAGGGAACAAGTTTTATTATTGTTGTTGTTGTTGTTGTTGTGGTTGTCCAGTGTTTGTATTGTATTCTGTTTCTGCACTAAGAAAGAGGAAGAGAACCAATTGAGCATTACCTCAGCGGTGGTAGTGAAAATGATTTTTGTTGTTCTTTACAGTTTAATATTGTTATTCTCTGACAAGAATTGTGTTTTCTATTTTTTGATGATGCAAAAAGAAAATAATTCAAATCATTACCCATATCAAGTCAGCAGAATCCCACTAGCCCCAGAGAATGGGCTGAATGTGCAGAACATTGTAATTATTTTGTACAAAAGAGCAGTCGGGTCTTGGTTTGTTAGTGGAATTTTTGTTTTTTCTTAGAACAATCCAATTATTTATTAAAGTATTTTATACCAATATCTTTGTTTTGTCCTGTCTGTAGCATTGGAATTTGAACTTGTCACATTTCATTAATCTAGTAAACACAACATAATTCACATCGCTTCTTATCTTACCTCATCAGCATAGCAGGTATTTATAGGGTAGTGTTTATAGTGTTACCTCATTAGCATAGCAGGTATTTACTGTATATGGTAATTATTATAAAGTTACCTCATCAGCATAGCAGATATTTACTGTATATGGTAGTGTTTATAATGTTACCTCATCAGCATAGCAGATATTTACTGTATATGGTAGTGTTTATAATGTTACCTCATCAGCATAGCAGATATTTACTGTATATGGTAGTGTTTATAATGTTACCTTGTCAGCATAGCAGATATTTATATGGTTGTGTCATAATATTACCTCGTCAGCATTGTAACACCCTGGCTCTGGGACTCTATATGTTGAGCCAGGGTGTGTTCTTTCATTGTGGTGTATTTCTATGTTGGGAGTTCTAGGTTGTTTATTTCTATGTTGGCCTGAGTGACTCCCAATCAGAGGCAACGAGTGTCAGCTGTGGCTGGTTGTCTCTGATTGGGAGCCATATTTAAACTGTCTGTTTTTCCCTTTGTGTTTGTGGGTTCTTGTTCCGTGTTGGTCTATGTTACCTAGGACGTTACGAGTCGTTTGTTGTGTTTGTTTACTGTCCGTGTTTATCGCTAATGATAAATAAACATGTTCGTTCATCACGCGGCGCCTTGGTCCTCCTCTCTTAACGACGATCGTGACAGAAGAACCCACCATACAAGGACCAAGCAGCGTGTCCAGGAGCAGGCAGATTGGACATGGGAGGAAGCGCCGGGAAAGGAGATGGAGAGGTTGGCGATGGCCCAGGTGGGCAAATCGTGGTCCTGGGAGGACATGCTCGGGGGCAAAGGGCCATGGGCTAGGATTAAGGCCCTGGCGAGAGAGGAGCAGTGGCGTCAGCAGTGTCATCGTCGGACGGACGAGAGGCAACCCCAAAAATTTTTTAGGGGGGGGCACACGGCATGGGCGGCTGGGCAGCAGGAGGCTGCCACAGGGCAATTTGGAGAGGAGGCCACCGGGTTTTGGGGGCCAGAAGGCAGGTTGGCGGAGCCTGGATGGAGAGCAGAGCCAACTCCCCGTACTCAGGCATGGCAGCATGAGACTGGGCAGGTTCCGCGGTATGCGGAGCTGCACACTGTGCCACGAGTGGTCCGGCATAGTCCGGTACGTCCTGTGCGAGCACCCCGCACGTGTTGTGCGAAGGTGGGCATGCAGCCAGGACGGAGTGTGCCGGCTCAGCGCTCGTGGCCTCCAGTGCCTCTCCTCGGTCCCGGATATCCTGCGCCAGTGTCACGTGCTGTTATGCCAGTACGGGTACACAGCCCTGTATGTCCTGTGCTGATGCCTCACACAGAGTGTGTGAAGGTAGGCATTCAGCCAGGACGGGTTGTGGCAGCTCTTCACTCCAGGTCTCCTATCCGTCTCCACAGCCCGGTCCGGCCTGTCCCTGCTCCTCGCACCAAGCCTACGGTGTGCGTCGCCAGTCCGGTCCGGCCTGTCCCTGCTCCTCGCACCAAGCCTACGGTGTGCGTCGCCAGCCCGGTCCGGCCTGTCCCTGCTCCTCGCACCAAGCCTACGGTGTGCGTCGCCAGTCCGGTCCGGCCTGTCCCTGCTCCTCGCACCAAGCCTACGGTGTGCGTCGCCAGCCCGGTCCGGCCTGTCCCTGCTCCTCGCACCAAGCCTACGGTGTGCGTCGCCAGTCCGGTCCGGCCTGTCCCTGCTCCACGCACCAGGCCAGAGGTGCGCATCGTCAGCCCGGTCCGGCCCGTTGCTGCTCCACGCACCAAGCCAGGGGTGCGCATCGTCAGCCCGGTCCGGCCCGTTCCTACTCCACGCACCAAGCCAGGGGTGCGCATCGTCAGCCCGGTCCGGCCCGTTCCTACTCCACGCACCAAGCCAGGGGTGCGCATCGTCAGCCCGGTCCGGCCCGTTCCTACTCCACGCACCAAGCCAGGGGTGCGCATCGTCAGCCCGGTCCGGCCCGTTCCTACTCCACGCACCAAGCCAGGGGTGCGCGTCGTCAGTCCCGCACAACCCGTGCCTGGGTCACCGGTGCCTGGTAAGGTACCGGTCAACTGCTCCACTACGGAGCTGAAGCTAACCGCTCCTGCTAAGTCCAGTTCAGCTCCAGCCAGCGGGGCCAGACCGGACCAGGGGCGCTATGGGGGGTTTATTGGAGGGTGGTGGGCAAGACCGGAGCCAGAACCGCCGCCGAGGAGGAATGCCCACCCAGCCCTCCCCTGTTTTGCTCCAGTTGAGGCGCGGTCGCAGTCCGCGCCTTTAGGGGGGGGTACTGTAACACCCTGGCTCTGGGACTCTATATGTTGAGCCAGGGTGTGTTCTTTCATTGTGGTGTATTTCTATGTTGGGAGTTCTAGGTTGTTTATTTCTATGTTGGCCTGAGTGACTCCCAATCAGAGGCAACGAGTGTCAGCTGTGGCTGGTTGTCTCTGATTGGGAGCCATATTTAAACTGTCTGTTTTTCCCTTTGTGTTTGTAGGTTCTTGTTCCGTGTTGGTCTATGTTACCTAGGACGTTACGAGTCGTTTTTTGTTTACTGTCCGTGTTTATCGCTAATGATAAATAAACATGTTCGTTCATCACGCTGCGCCTTGGTCCTCCTCTCTTAACGACGATCATGAAAAGCATAGGGTCACGTCTCTCCTCTTCCTTTACTGTTAGCAAGCATGCGGAATGTCATTCACCTATTAACTTCAGCCTGTGAGTATGGCACTCTAAGGCAATTCCAGCATGCTTGATGATTAACCTATGGGCTCACTCGTGCAATAATCACTTTCCTTTCTTTCAACCAATGGGCATAAATCTAGGGAAGTATTCATATGTCAACTCAAACCTTGTGTCTCCCACTTGCTGTTTTGCAGCTACAGTCTTCCAACAACCTTCCACTTTCCCACCACCACCAGCTGCCCCACATAGAGCAATCTGTCATCAGCATCTGGCTCCGAGGAGCATACCTTGGAGATGAGGCCTACCCCAAACTATTCAATACAATTCCATATTGCATTCAGTCTCTGTTGTCATTCAGTTAAGCCTGTACTCAATTGATTTTGATTTGACGTGTTTTCACTTTATCAATGGAGCTGAATCTGCTCTTTCTATAGGATTCATCTTTCTGTAGCTGATTGGCTATCTATCTACAGACGCCCATTCAGAACCACCAATAAGGTAAGTCCCTTGCATGCATTCATCTGCCCTAATGATTTACATTAGTAACATAAACTACATGATGGCAGTAACGCAGCTGCATAGGGACTCTGCAATGCTCCATGGTTTGATATGTTGTGTTCTGTGATCGTTAACCCATCAGTCGTCTGGGAAGAATGGGAAACGTATGGAATCCAGGATCAGATATCAGTTAAGTCACATGTGTACAGCACAGGATCACTTACCTACTTGGTAGTACAATAAAGTAGAGAGAGAGAGGAGAGGGGGGAGGAGAGGAGGAGCCAATGGCACCCAGTAAATGTCACTGTACCGTATGTGTTCCTAGCATTCAGAATGTAAGCCAACACCAGATTCCACGAGTTACTGGCTACGGTCAAGGGTATCTGTCAAAGACAGGTTACCCTCCTCCGCTCCACATAGTATCACACTGTTTTAGCTGTGATTGTAACAATACTGAATGTTACTAGGAGCTGGGTGTGTGAGAGAAGAATATGTGAACTGTAGGCGAAAACTAAATTTTACGCAGAGTGGTGCCAGGAAAATAACCTCTCCCTCAACATCAACAAAACGAAGGAGCTGATTGTGGACTTCAGGAGACAGCAGAGGGAGCACACCCCCATCCACATCCACATCGACGGGGCCACAGTGGAGAAGGTGAAAAGCTTCAAGTTCCTCGGCGTACACATCACTGACAATCTGAAATGGTCTACCCACACAGACAGTGTGGTGAAGAAGGCAAAACAGCGCATCTTCAACCTCAGGAGGCTGAATACATTCTGCTTGGCCACTAAGACCCTCACAAACATTTACAGATGCACCATTGAGAGCATCCTGTCGGGCTGTGTCACTGCCTGGTACGGCAACTGCACCGACCGCAACCGCAGGGCTCTCCAGAGGGTGGTGCGGTCAGCCCAACGCATCACCAGGAGCACACTGCCTGCGCTTCAGGACATCTACAGCACCAGGTATCACAGGAAGGCCAAGAAGATCATCAAGGACATCAACCACCCCGAGCCATTGCCTGTTCACCCCACTATCATCCAGAAGGCGAGGTCAGTACAGGTGCATCAAGTCTTGGACCAAGAGACTGAAAAACATCTTAGATCTCAAGGCCATCAGACTGTTAAATAGCCATCACAAGCCGGCCTCCGCCTAGTACCCTGCCCTGAACTTAGTCACTGTCACTAGCCGGTTACTCATCCCTGCACCTTAGAGGCTGCTGCCCTATGTACCTTGACATGGAACACTGGTCACTTTAATAATGG